AGCTGGTTTTTTTTTTTTTTAAGGGTCTATAGAGTTTACTTTAGTTAAATTACATTCTATTCTCAGATACAAAGCTAAAACATCCTTGAGTATATTCTTGAGATGTTTATGAAGGGGCGGATCACAAAGAGGTTTCAAAAGTATTTCTAGTTATTTTTTTATTTCTACCTAAAGCCAAGAAGTCTTAAGTAAAATTGAAAATGTCTAAAGAAGTCCCAGAGAACTAACCTTAAACATAAAATCCCTAAACAGTCCAGGAAATCTGGTGAGGTTTTATATTCTTCTTAGGAGCACAAGTAACATAGCCAGAGTTGCTCAGAAACAGGAGGTGTTCTTGTCATATTTACCACTTGTCCAGCATAGCTATCGCAGGTTTGATTTAGTGTCATCTAGTATCTATCTGTCATTCATTCATTTCCATGCAGTGAATATTGAATATTGATTGAAAATTTCCTCTGAACTAAGGGCTGGGAAGATAGCAGGAAGCAGGACTGTCTTAGCCTCAAAGAGTTTGTAATCAATCAAAGCAGTAAACATAAAACCATATAGATAATTATTTGTCAAACTTGTGATAAATGTCGCAGAGTTGATCTGGGGAGTGTTGTGAGAGGTCTGATTAGGGAGGTACCAGGAAAGAGGAAGACGGCCAAACTGGAAGTCAGGTTTTTTGAGGGAAGTGACGTTTGAGGTGAAGCCTGGGGTATAGGAAGGAGTTGGCTAGGTGGAGAGAACAGGGATGCACTTCCCAGGAAAGAGAGCACCACCTGGGCAACACCAACTGGAAGGAACTTCTTGCTTACTCAGCACCAGGCATTGCCTGTGGGACTCCATGTGGGCAGTCTCATTTCATCTTTGTCTTTCATTTGCAAATAAGGACAGGGCAGTTTCGAGGGATCCGGCAGCCTGACCACAGCCACACAGTCGGAGACGGCAGGCCAGACCCAGCCAGCCCACCTCCTACCCGTGAGCTGCCCCTGCCTAGACCCAGCGGCTCCTTGTTGGAGTCTCTCACACGCTTACCAGGTTCCCTGTCAAGGCATGAGATGCTTCATAATTTCCTTCCTGCCCCCTTGAGATCTGCTTTGATTACTCATGATGCTGAACCCTGATGAGTTGCAGTGAATTGGCCACCACTGCACTCTGTGTCCACTTCCTCCAGCCTGTTGCCTTAGCATTATCAGGGTTCGGGCAGCAAGGGACCACATCCTCTGTTGTACTTCCCTTGGAGCCCCTGATGGTGAGCACTTTGTCATCCTTTATCACAGCCCACTGAGGTTTTACACTTCTGTCTGAGACATGGAAAAGCTGTGCAGCTGGCCCCAGAGCAGACAGTGACCAGGCAGCCTGGCTCCAGGTGAACATCAGGTTTCCTGCAGCAGCTATCTGCCTGGACATTTATTCCTCCAAACTGTGCTCAGGGAGAGGCACGTGGGCCTGTGGACATAGAAGCTCAAAAGGGGGGGTGAGGATTAAACTCCCACCTATGCTCAGTTCCTGGAGGTACCAGTTAGTGGTGGGGCTGCTGTAGGCATTACCAGAGGGGACTACCGGCAGCCTCAGTGGGTAGCAGTGTCCTTTACTGCACTGAACAAGCAGCATAGGTCTTTCTGAAGGGATAAGCAAGAGTGTTTTCACCAGTGTCCTTCAGTCCATTTGCCCAGATCCAGGTTATTAATGAGGAGCCATGTGTTAGACAGAAAAGAACATTTGACCCGGAAAAAAATAGGTCAGAGTCCCAACCCCTTTACTTGTTAGCTCTGGGCCCTTGGTCAGATCTCTTAGCCTGTCTTAAGACTTTTTTCATCTATCACTTAGAAATAAATATACCTACTTATTCCACCTCTCAGGGCTTTGAGACCAAACCAGAGTTATTTTAAGGTGGAAGCTAGGAAGAACTATTAAAATGCAAAGCAATATGATTTTGGGGTCACATTAAAGAAGCACAGAGCTCCCTGCAGGTGGAGACATGTCTCATGCCTCCAGGGTCTGCTCTGTCAACACTGTGTTCTCTTAGGAACATCCCAGTTCTACCCAAGGGCTAAATCACCCTGGTTTCTTGGAAGTGAGGTGCAGCCATCTCCACCCATCCTAGTCGATTGAACAGGATCCAGGGGTGTTACTCAGGGCCTTTCCCCGCTGTTTAGACAACAGGGACTAACAAACCATTTGAAGGGATTAGAAGTGAGATTCTGACCGAAAACTGACCTGAGCCCAGGGACCAAGCCAAGAATAGAACCCAAGAGTCCAAGAGCTCTGCCTCTGAGTCTGTGCTTGGAAGAGACTTTCTGCTTCCTTTGTCATGTTTCATCCGAGTGACGGCTTAGATCTTAGCATCTAAGTTTGAAATGTCCCAAATTTTAAGCAGATGATGGCAAAGTAAGCCATAAAACTGTGAAAGAATACTCCTTCCAGTAATCCATCTGAATGGTAGCCTTACAGGAAGCATGGGTTCCTTTGTGTGTTATTTGAACATGATTTTTTATTTATAGGGAACCCCCCTTCTTCAATTCTTTCAAATCAGAATACTTCCAAGTTCTCTCCTTGTTAGAGTGTGCAGGCTTTCCAAAAACGATAGTCTCGATCGTCCATCGTTTCCATGTGGTCTGAGAGTTTTGGGAAGGCAGGTGGGGGTGAGGAACAAAGACAGCGGAGGACAGCAGAGCCTTTGGCCTCCACACGAATGCTGTGGACCATTATCCCCCACTGCATTTGTTAACTGTGCAAGTATGTGTGGTTTGGAACTGAAACAGGAAGCCTTTTCCAAGGCAGCATTCTGCTGGCTCAGGTTGCATCTTCCAGTCTACGTGTATTGGGCCACATTTGTCTGTTCCCACATAAAGCTTAGGGAAACGGCACCAATGCTGCCACACCTGGTGATACAGTGTGAAGAAAGGTCTGCTGTACCTTGAGGTGACCAAGCCAGGCAGTGCCCCTGGCCATGTGAATGCCCATTTCTGCCTGAGTGTGGCAATGCCGGGGACGTCGTGGAAGGGATGCTTTGGCAGAAAGCTGCAGAGACCCGGGAGTAGCGGTGTCACCGCGGAAGGCGGCGTTGCTCCGGAAAGGAAAGGGCGCCTGGCTGTGGGCGGTCTGCCTGCTTATTTCTCCCCATCTGTGGCAGACTCAGAGGCACAGAGCATGTTTAGAAAGCAGCAGAGGAAGATTTATGAAGCTAGATCCTGAGGTTTCCTCCAAAATATTTCTTCACCTTTTTAGTCAAGGCCCAAAAAGGCAGGGAGAAATGGGAGTTAGCATAACTGGAAAGATTGAAACTAATTTAGCAAAGCCCAGGAGTGTTGAGCTTATCTCATTATTTAAGTTAGATAAGGAGGAAGGGGGAATTTGAGGAATAGTGATAGATCAGTATTTAAGAATATAGGCATGAGGACTGATAATGTTCTGGAATCCCAGGACTCTTGAACAGTGCATGTAGATTCACATTGCAGTTGCTCGAGCTTTTGAGTAAACTCTGGGTTGATTTCTTGGGAAAGATTTATGATGGGCATATTTGACTTTTTTCAGTAAAAATACTCCCAGATTTGGTAATGACATTTTCCATTAATGGCCTCTTCACTGTGAAATTGAGATGGATTTTCTTAAAGAAAACTTTGTTACAGTGGTGAACCTCACTCATGATTCAGGATAAATGGGTTAAGACCCTAGCAGAGCCGGAATGCAGAATTCAGCAAGGAACTTTAGCAATTCCCCCACGAACTCTTTCTTGATAGCATGGCAGTTCTGCTTTAGATTATTCTGCCCTGAGAGTGGCCATATATACTTGGTGTTACACGTAGCATATCAAACAGAATTGGTCTGAACTGAGATTTTAGAGAGCT